TTCCTGCCTCACATCCTGGATTACGGACTATCTTACAGGCTGACCACAGTTCGTCGTGCTGGGGAACTGTGTCTCTGGGACAGTGGTGAGCAACACTGGGGCCCCACAAGGGACTGTTCTGGCTCCATTCCAGTTAAGTCTGTACACAGCGAACTTTAAGTACATCTGGGTCCTGCCACATTAAGAAATTCTCTGATGATACAGATATTTTGGCATGAATCAAGAATGGGCAGGAAGGTGAGTCCAGGACCCCGATGGCAACCTTCACTGACTGCTATGAACTGCCTTCTGCTGAACATCTCCAAGACCAAGGAGAATGTCGTGGACTTCCCCTGCTACAGCCTCTCAGTATCACAGGGGACGACATTAAAGTGGTGCAAACAAATATCTGGGTTTGCACGTTGATAACAAACTGGACTGCTCCACAAACAGAGATGCCATGTTTTGGAAGGGACAGAGTCGGCAGTTCTTCCTCAGAAGACTAAAATCCTTCAAGAAAAAGCTACATAGCTCTACCAGTCAGTGGCTCATCTCACTGCGCTGCAGGACTGAACGGTTCTGAAGGTCCTTTGTCCCCACTGCCATCAGGCACGATAACACCTTGGTCAAGGGCAGTGGCTCATGACCTGAACTGTTGGCTGCTACATTCCAATGACACATTTCCACTGTGCAGTCAACCAATAATCAAGCCAGGACCCATGCACCACATCCCTTCTCTATACGCAATATTATTAGTTCGATTTGTCACATTGCACTGTGTACTTATTAATATTTTATTGTATTCTGTACTCTCTGAACACTATTTCAGCGGTCTCCAACCTTTTTTGCACCACGGACCTGTTTCAAGCAAAACGATTTTCTACAGACTAGTCATTGTGCACATAACAAATAACAATAGTTTTTTCTATTAAAAAAGCGTCAATCGTCGAATCAAATTACTTTTTATTGCAAAACAAGTATTCACTTTTTCTTCCGTCTCAGCACCTCTTTTCAAAGAAATTCTCCAGAAAAGTTTGTTTTTTTAAAAATTCATTTTGGCAGTGGTTAGAATAGATTTTAACGGCCAGGCATGAAAACTGAGTGAGACAAGTGCGGGAAACAAGCACAGCTGGAAGTTATGGGAAGACGAGCTAGTCATTTTTCAAAATAAAACACCCTGCAAACTCTGATAGAAACAAAATAAACCAATAAAATATTTGTATTCTTTCTGTGCAGCCTGGTGACCCACGGCCCAGTACCAGTCCGAGGCCCGGTGGTTGGGGACCACTGCTCTATTTGATTGTATATACCACCATTTGCATCTTATTGTAAATAGTAACAATTTTTTGAACATTTCTGTAAACACCAGTAGAATAGGCACCTTGCTGCTGTTTCTTTGAACAGAACAATTTGCACGACAATTGCATGCTCTTTAGTACGTTGTTTCTTATCTATCTGTATGTAATGTGTGAGGTACCTCAAGGGCATAAATAATCTATCTATCTATCTATCTATCTATCTATCTATCTATCTATCTATCTATCTATCTATATCCTTGGTTAACAAATATGTAAAAAAAAAAAAAAAAAACTCCTTTAAAACATTTCTTGTTGATCAGTCCAAGGTGCTTCACTCTGTATATTGTGTTTTTTTTTCATAGTTTTGTAGTTTTTGTACTGTTATGGGTTTGTAGTAGTAAATATACACATCCATAAAGTTCAGTGGCCTTGCTTGTTCCTGTTCACATCTCAGTCCCTAAATCATATAGACATCTGCTAGCCAGATTTGCAAAGTTAACATCAGATTTGCATATTGAAATCAGGTCAGAAACTCTCCTGATCCTGCATCAAGTAGAGCTTCACTGCAGTGTTACAAGGAATCAGTAGACACTGACGTAGCTGAAATGTTATCCAATTTCTCAGCTGCAACTCCCCCAAATTTGAGGGCAAACGAATGAAGAAAAACAAATGTTACATCTATTTTAGTTGTAGTAGCACTAAGCAGTTTTTTCAGTTAATGCGTCATGGTTTGCACCCTTGAAAAGATAGCTTTGGTTGCATTTTTACATCAGATATATTCTGGTTCAGACACAGGCACCTCCAGGAAGGAAGAGCTTAATTTAATTTCCAAATGAAATCAAATTAGTCTCTAGACAAAGTATATCCCATAGCATAAGGGCTAAAGCGTCAAAATAAACTACTTATTTTTTGCACTTCTGCATGTTTGTTAAACAGGCATGAACCTGGGATGACAATATTAAGAAAAAAAAACAAAACACCAAATTATTCAGAACTACCAGCAGACACATTCACGTCATCAACAACTCTAATGGTTTATGGAGACACAAGAGACCCTGCAGCATTTCTCACAATGACTTCCATAATAACACCATCCATAATAAAGTTATGGTATGTTGTATATGCAACGGCATCAGACGCACACCAGGAATTTCACTACTTGCATCTCAGTCAATTCCTGCTCTACAGCTATGTGAAATGTTTGGGACAACTCTAGAATGGCAACCACCAACAGCTGTATGGTTTACCCTCTCCTTTCTATCCAGTTCACTGCAATTGTGTGTAACTTTTTTTGCTGGAGGTTGACTATCTACCCTTCCTTGCTGCTTGTTACCGCAGCATTAAAACAGCAGCCAGCAGTACTGAAAGACAAATAAAGATGTTTAGGAGTTTTTTTGATCACTATATTGACAACACACTGTTGGATCATTTCCCCAGGTTTACAACGTCTTCCCACAGTGGGGGACTATTTTCAGGTATTTCAAATGAATGCAGTTCAGCAACATGAAAGACACAGATTCATTAACAGTCGAACAATGAGTTTTTATTATAGTAATGTTCCATTTAACACCTGCTCTCACAGTGTGCCTCTAATCTGAAACTATTTACATACTCTGACGGTGTGCTGCAGCTCACGTTTCCAGTGCTGAAGGCAATCCAATGGGGTGGATGGTTAACCATAAGAGAAAAAGGAACACAAAAACAGAGGCTCTCTGCTTACAGTTGGGTTCACTCTCATCATTACAGTTAGTCAGTGGATATAGTTTAAACTTAGAATCTAAACCAGTACAGGAGATTAAGTAGGGGGAATTAAACTGATATCCTGATCAGTGACAGAAGTAAAACAACCCTGGGATGTCAGGCAGTAAGCTAAAGCTGTCTGTTGGAAGTTCTCATATACCAAACACAAGCACTGAAAAGCCTTGTGAATTTTGTGACCCATCCATTATCTATACACCCTGGACAGTTCACCAGTCTATCACAGGGCTACACTTAGAGACAGACAGACAAACACACTCACATTCACACCTACGGACAATTTAGAATCACCAATTAACCTCAGCATGTTTTTGGACTGTGTGGGAGGAAGGCGGAGAACCCAGAGAGAACCCACGCTGCACGAGGAGAACATGCAAACTCCACGCAGAAAGATCCCGGGTGTCCTCACCAGGACGCGAACCAGCGACCTTCTTGCTGCGAGGCAATGGCGGCTCCAAAACAAAACAAAAAAAACATTTCTTCTGTATATTTGTTCCGCCTTCCGTTTTCTATAATCTTTAAATCATGTTTTATTGAAAGGCATATGCTATGAATTGGCATGTGTTTAATTTGTACATTATTTTTATTTATCATATGTTTGGAATACGGATAGTTTTAAAATCTCATCTAAAGGAAGCTGTCTTAGTAGTCATTATGGACACCACTTTCATACTAGCCGGAGCCTGCATCTTGTATCTAGTCATTTGATAATGACTCTTCAGGCTCAATTATGTTCAACACATCACCAGCTCAATAAAGACAAAGATAATAACAGCTGATTGAATAAAGAGGCTGAACTTGGGGTTGTGTGGCAATTAAATGGGAATAACAATGGGTAGGCTAGTTTGACTAATGAGGGGTTTTTTTTGATAGGGGCAGTGGAGAAATGTAGGGAAACAGTGCAGGGGTAGGACATGCAGCAAATGATCTCGCTAGCCAGGATTTAAACCAGGAACTCGCTGCTCAGGGAATCTGCACCTATGTGATATGCATTTTAACAACATGGCTATCAGGTTACCTCCTTGGAGTTAATGAATCTCTGGGAACTGCAGCAATAAATGGATGGACAAACCTAATGTGAGCACAATATTTTTCTCTGTAGTTTGAGCAGTGCAGAAAGGTGGTTTAATCAATGGTGCTAAGCCTATGAAATTTTCTCAGGTAAACCTGGCTAGCGAGAACAGTGATTTAGAAATTCAAGTATTTTTTAAGCAAACACTTGAAAAGAAATGAACAAAGCCACTGTTTCATTAAGAGGAGCAGGTATGCACTGCTGCCTGCTTACATTTCAGAAAAAGGAGGCAAGAGCAGCAACATTCAAGTTAATTCTCAAGTCATTTCTTTCCAAGTGAGTTTTTATCAGTACATTCAGTTTGGCTGTACAGTCATACTGTGTCTGCATTCTATGTACAAGTTTACGTCTACTTTCACTATAGGACTTAGATATTTCTATTTAGAAAAATGCGTAGCACAAATTTCACTACTCAAAATGCTTGCTGTTATTGATAAAGATAAATTTTACATTCAACCAGACAATTCATCAAAAATAACTTTGATCAAAATACACTGTACAGTAATTATACGAAAAATAAAAATATATACAATGTCATACGTCACTGTATGTTGGTCAAAATAATAAATCCAATTTATTTCTGTGACCATCTGCCACAGTAAAGACAGAGAGTTAAATCAATAATCTTCCAACTGTCTTTAACAGTTTATAATAACACAATGAACTATAACTATTAAATGTATAGATATACAGTATATATTATGCACTTGCTGAATTAATACAATAGCTAAGGTAATCATTTTTATATTGGCAAGAGAGACCACCAGAAGTAAATACTGCATTAAAACAAAATACCTCAAAGTGAAGAGTCCCAACATGTTACCCAGTTAACAAAAAAGGCCAGGAGTAAAGGTGTATTATCCGTTGTTTAGGGCCACTCCATCCCGATACTCTCATGATTTCATGGTGCAAATTGGTACAACAATGACGAGGATTACAGTGCAGGTAGCAGCTGCAATCAGTGCTCCAATCTTACACACCTTAGCCCTCCTGAATTCTGCCTCTTTCCTCTTGAGCAGTGAATCATAGCCTGGTGTGTAGATGTCCTCCATCCAGTACTCCAGGTTGTTGGGATTAAGGGACTCCTGGGTCTGATTAAACAAACAGAAACAATAAATAAGAGAATGCACATGTCTCAGAAAAGTTTTCCATTTGACTATGAAGAAATACAGTTAGAGTACAGATACTGATTTCAATATTTCAACAGTGCTCAAGAACTTGACCTTTACCAGCATTTTGACTGGGGGAACCAGGAAACAAAACACAGCCAGGGGTCTACTTCAGAGGCAGGTGTTCTGGAGTTTTCTTATGCGCCTCTGCATGTCTCCTTTGTATGCTTTTATTAGGTCTATTCAAGTATCAGAGTTGAACCACAGCAAACATAAAGAACACCACAGAGCACTGAGCTGCCTTGTTGCGTACAAGTTTCAAAATGTTAACATGAGTTAAAAGAAATTACAGCATTTGTATGTCACTTGTTTGTTTCTTTTATTAGGAAGGCTTGTGCTACAACTGATTTTTTTTGTTTTAGATCGTAATCACTGTACAATACCTTGCTGCAAATTAACAACAATTTAATACCAATTTATAGGTATTTTGATTTGGTATGTATCATTTAATATACATGTGCTTTAATGTGCAGCTGTTGGCAGCAGTTGCTTGTCAGTAATCCACAAACTCCACCTGTCCTCTTAGTGATTACCAGAAATTCTGAACTTCTTTACTGTTCACTGTTTTTTACTGTCTCTCATCCAAGAGACTTCTTCATTTCTGGAAATAAAGTGAAGAATAACTAAAAAAGGATGAATGAAAGCTGACACTCTTTGGATTAACAAGAATCTACATGGACAATCGCAATATCTGAGCATTTCAAAATGCCAAACAGAGCGAAGAGTCTGACTGTGTGCTAATAAAAGGAATCAGCAGAGGGATGAGAAGAGTCAGTACAACCGCCCTTGACTTGCCGTTAATGCAACCAAATACAAAAACATAATACAAGGTTCTTTCTAATTTCCCATTTTCATGTGAGTCCCAGCACATCAAATTACTAATCATGCTCTCTGCGCTCTCTGTTCAGACTTTGTTCTGAGCTGAGAATCTACAATATGAAGATATTGATGTCCCTGTCTATACAATAATGACAGATGAATCATAAAAGCAGTCTGTCTGTGAAGATTCTCAGTCATCCAGGTCAAGGCTATCCTCGTAGTTTAATTGTAGCGACTGGACTTGCTTGAGTTTCTTGAAGACGTTTCACCTCTCATCCAAGAGGCTTCATCAGTTCTGACTGACTATTTGGGAGTTCCAGATACTTATATTCTGTAGGAGCCATTTACACTTGAGTTTCAGTTTGAACTGGGAGTTTGTTGCTCTCCTCACTCATTATGCGAGTCACTAGGACTCCCCCTGCCACAATGGGGTTTGTTAGGGTCTTTTGTGGCTTGGTGTGAATGTGGTTTCATCTTCCTTTTAAGAACTCTCTGGATCACACCTAGCCACAAAAGACCCTAACTTGGATGAGAGGTGAAATGTCTTCAAGAAACTCAAGCAAGTCCAGTTGCTATGATTAAAGTACGAGCATAAAAACAGTCATGTCAAGATAGTCTTTAGTTGATTATTTAATATCTAGCCAGGATATCAGTGTTTTTGAAGACGAAAACTCTCTCCATGAATGCATTCTGATATTCTTTATTATAACACTATGTAAATGAGGAAATGAAATGCTGTGTCAGACAGCTCCTTCAGGTTCAGCAGGAGAGAAGAAGTCTGAGAGAAAGTCAGTTTGTTAAAGAAAATCAAGCTTAAAAAAAATAAATAAATAAAAAAATTCAGACTTCCTTTTCTGTTCTTGGGGAAGTTGGAGACATGTAATCTGAGAGGGAGATGTTTAAAGCCACCATTGCAGAGACAGCTGTTCGGAACTGTGACCAGAAGGTCATAAGTTCCTGTTAGGCAGCAACTGGTGTTGGTGGACGCTGGTGGTGAGGAAAGAGGCCTAGAGATCTCTTGAAGCAGCACACAGTTAACTGGGAGCCAGGAGTGCTTCAGCTGCAGCAGTTACAGGAGCAAAAACTCAGGTGTGGAAGAAGTTCAGGGAGGCTATGGGGAATCACTTCTGGCTGGCTTTAGGGAAGTTCAGTCAAACTATTCAGTGATTTAGGAAGGGAAAGCAGGGCTTGGCCCAGGTTGTGTTCTGCAAGGGAGCAGAGCTGCTGCCCTGGACTAGGGATATTGTTGGATGGTGGACAAAGCAATTTGCAGAGCTCCTAAACCTGATCAACATGTCCTCTCTTTTCCACCAAACCGGTTCCAGTGATAGTTCCGTGCTATTGCTTAGCTTAGCACTAGATCTTTGTGTTTCCAATGCCTAAGGTCCGGCTCCAAGCTCTTAAAACCAGCACCACAGTGGTGCAAAACAGTACTTTATAACTTCAATTTACTGCGATATTTACACTCAGAAATGCGGTCTTCTCATTAAAAACGGAGCACACCTACATACGCTGTTTATTCCACTCATAGAAAAGACCGCATGAGAAAAAAATCACTCCGTTTCATCTTGGACAAATCTGACATTAGAATGCCCTAGTTTACTCTTTTTAGTCATTTTTGGTCGCACAACAATCTGAGCACCGCAGCCACCGAGCAGCTACCACAGCCTGCAGTGTGGGGCATTCGGGGGAACATCGTAAATTGTACAGTCTATCAATAAGAAAATGTTCAGCAAGTCATATGTTTTGCCTGTGACAAGGTGAGAAGTGCGAACAAATGAGAAAGTTGGTTGCACCAGTTAAAAAAGTTAGTCTGGAGTCCTGTCTGGACTTCCATGTGGCGCGAGCGTTTTTCGGTAAACGGCTATGAATGCAGTGATGTATGGTGTGGCTCTAACTTGGCTCCTTGCTGATGGAAAAGCAGCCGGTTCTTAGGAGGTGCCAGGTTGGAACCAACTAAGCACTGGCCCTAGCACCACCACGAAACTAGCACCTGGTTCTTCTGGGTGGAAAAGGGGGAGGAGGCAGCCTCTAAAGACTCCAGGAAACATTAACCACATTCTTGGCAGAAGTCTCTGAGGCAATCAAGAAGCTCCTCAGTGGCAAGATGCAGGATTTGTCCTAAGATGCCAAAAGCTCCAGACCCTGATAAGCTCTCAGAAAGTTTATTCCACTTTTCCAGGGTAGTGGAAGGGAGGGTTCGATCAATAATTGAACCTCAGATTCAGGAACAGCAATACGGAGCCCATCCTGCTTGTGAATCAGTGGACCAGCTCTTTACACTTGTGGAGTTGCTGAATTTGTCAAGATAGTCTGTGACTAAAATGAGGGGTGAATACCTCCAAGTCTGAGGCCATGGTTCTTTGCTGGAAACTGGTGGATTGCTCCCTCAGGCTTGGAGGTGAGGTGTGAGCAAGTCTTTTGCAATCTTGTTCACAAGTGGTGGGAAAATGGAGTGCAAGGTGGACAAATGGAAAGATGGGCATGTTTACTGTACAGTCCTACTTTATGTACATCCAGCACCAATGTCAATATAGGAAGAAGTGCGTATCTCATATGGCAGACAAATTACCAACCTGCCTTACATAACCTGAATGTTATGTGTGAATGTGAATCTGGTCCCAAAACTAGCTGGTGTCAACTGTAATTTAATTCCAAGCTGTAACGCTGTGCATCACAAGTGAGCCAGATCTCTAGGCCACAGGCATGGCTGACTCTGGGTGTGTGGAACAGTGACGCACTGACCTGGAACTGACACTTTCAGAACAGTGTGTGGTGAGTAATTAAGCTACTGAAGGTTTCTAATAAACAACCAGCTATTTAGTGTTCAAAACTGTTGTCACTGAATACATTTCGAAGTTTTGCACAGTTGTGTTGTTTGTTCTCATACTTAAAGCAGTGCAGTTCTTAAATGTGATAACAATTAGTAAATGAATTGGTAAAACATCAATATACTATATATATTGTGAAGGATTCCTACTACTGGGTGAAAGTGACTGCATTTTAGCTTTGCACACATAATTCCTACTCTACTGAGCTGACCTCCAGAATTACTCAGCTGGTCATCTTCCTCCAGACTCCACATATTTGACATGGAGAGCAGGAAAAGCAATCAATACCAGACCTGACTTGATAGAAGACTTGTTTCCTGTGAGAAGGGGATGATATCCCCATTTTTTATAAGGTCTATGTATTAGTTAGCAATGACAGGTTCAGAGAGCGAGGGTGAAAAACTACAACAATGTACTGTAATCAGTAGTTTTCCACAAACACCAAGCAGTTACTAAAGTTCCTTGAATCATACAACTTTTAACCAGCATAAACAAACTGATCAGACAGCAGCAGCATGTAATGTATGGTACAGAGTCTTAAGATTAAATTTAACCTGTAGCCCTTGCAGCAGATTTTCCTTCTTCTTTAATCTGTTGTACACAGATTCCACATTTTGACTGTAAAATTACAAGGCACAAAGGAGCCATGCTCAGGACCAGTCTAGCATTATGAAAGCTGTCACTACGGTTCTGTGTATTTTAATATACTGTAAGAATGAATGAACAAACAAATATATATACATACATCTACACAAAACAAAAATGTAATGGTTCACTTCTACCGAGTGATATTGTTGGGATTTGAGTCTGGTACCTTTATTTTGGTAGTGTATTTCTTGTGTGTATTAGTTTTGTTCTGCATTTTCAGGCTGGGCGGGGCCATGGCCAGAGGACTCACTCCCCTACGAGCGGTAGATCGGCCACACTTCTTCTCGAGTTCTCTGGTTCGTTGTTATTTAATTCTATGCTGACGTTTTTGTGTCGGCATCCTCTGCAGAGCCTCCTCAGCCTGACGTCCTGCCCAGCCATCTCGAGGCAACCACCAGCAGCAGCCCTCCAGGTTTCCCACCACTGGATCCTAGCCGTCATGAGCACCCTCTTCCCCGGAACACGGATTCCCCCTCTTGCACTAGAGCACCTCGCTGGAGCACTCTAAGCCCTCTCACCTCCCCTCACGAAGTCCAGCGTGCACCGGCACTTCCCCCTCCTGCTTCCTTGGTGTCCTCACTCCTTCCCCGATGAAAAACACTCTTTTTACCACCCACCTCCCTAGTCGCCTTTATTGGGTTCACTTCCTGTAAATTAGGAGCCAACTCCTAACAGATATTTGGCTATTTTGATATCTGTTTGTAAAATTGCACCAATACTATGAAGAGAAAAATGCAGTAGTACATCTACGGATACATTTTATAACATCTCATATTTCTATTTTCACTCGGAATAATCCACATCCACAGAACACAAGGTCTACATTTTTTGGGACTACCCCGAACTACCCTTGACTGAAGAAACAGTCCTTGTATCACTGGCTGCACTGCTCACCTACAGCATCAATGAAGATATTTGTATGTTTTTGTCTTCCTTGCCACTACTGGCCTTCTTAACACTTTCCAATTGTTCCTATTTTACACACATTGTTTTTTATTATTACTCCATTAGCTACTACTCTGATAGTAATTTATCAAAGCTGCTTTGTAGGTCGAGAGTTTTCTGATTTATTAACCATTTTGGGTGGTTCAAAAAACTTTCTTTGTTGTGTTTTTGAGGACGATGGTCACTAATGTTTCCTTCTGCTCATCTGACTGCCCAAGGATCTCACTCATGCCACTCTAATATTCAGCCTATTTTACTCACAGAGTGGATGCTTTCAGTGTTTCTTTACCTTTTACTTTTTATTTTATGTGATATATTTATACCATAACCCAGGAGTGGCAGCCTGGTGCTGCTGGGGCTTGAAGCTTGGAGCCTTAACCACTGGGTGGTTTTGTTGTATCTTTGTCCCTTTAGCCAGGAGGCATAACAGGCCTGACTGATGTGATGTGTTGATGGGTGTAGTAATGTTTCTCAAATCAATCTTAAAAAAAGGTCAAGTAATTCAATTAAGGTAAGTGGTGGACTAACATATGTAATGGCACTGCACTCTGGCAAGGCATTTTTCAAATCAGTGGCTACACATTTATCATCATAGTACATCTAAAGCATTATTGCTGTGCATTTGCTCCAAGCTTTTGCTCTTGTTCCAAAAACAGACGTGGTTCTGACAAAGTTTATTCTTGGTTCTATTCTATTTTGACTCATCTGGATAAACCTCCTACATTTTGAACCTCTCCTACCAAGTGTGCAATAAGCCTTCTGTGTGGGGCATAAAATGCCAGACAGGCAGAAAAAGCTATTTCAAGGTCAGGAAAATACCAAAGAGTTGGTGTGTTGCTTGTGCTTGTCATTACACCACCATGAAAATAAGGCCTGAGGAGACAAGTGCTTGATCTACTGTACACGTCTGGCTCTTGAAGGCTGCTGTGCTGTCCATGATGTTGAATATTCTATTGCCACTGCAAACAGACCACCTGATGGACAACAGCTGCATGTGATGCTCTTGTAAAAAAAAAAAACCTGGTTGGTAAGGTGTCAATAAAATCAGAAACCAGTTGTAGAAATACTATCATTTTGGTATCATGTTAAGTGTGATTTTAATATAGTGATGAATTTTGCTTAGTACTGCCAAATGTGACAGAGATAGCCAGGTGACAATAACACATAACCTACAGCAGTAATAAATTTAAAGTGTAAAAATGCATTCATATAAAATTAGGTCTGGTTCTTGAACCGGTTGCACTCAAAATTATTGGAACTACATTTCCACGAGTTTTGAGTGGTAATCAAAGATCTACGGAGGGCACTGCATATGAAGAGTTCGTTTGCAAAAACAGATAACTCATCTTCACAAACCTTCAGAAAACCCACTTCCATCGTCTACCTGAGACGATATCAATCAAATTTAAGTTATCTCTATTTTTGTCGTTTCTACTGAGTCAAATCCACTCAGCTTCAGTTTGGTTGATATTATCTGAAGCAAACAACAAAAAATTAAGTTTTCTGAAAATCTACAAAACTGGAGTTATCTGTTTTTGCAAATGAACTCTTCATATTCTCTCTTTTCAACTTGTAACATAGGATACACTTCCTGATGTCATAGTGGTTCGCCTTGGAAAATGCATTTTTTGGTTCCAACTAAGTAACAACTTTTTGAGTTTTGAACCAATTAATTTTATGTCAAAATGCAAAGAGAAACAGTTTTGAATCCATTAAAGAAACCAGTAAAGGCAAGGGAGAGGAATTGATTTCTGAGGCATCTTGGGACTCTGAAGGCCATACAGTGACTTTCAAAACACACGAGAACAAAATTGTTGGTACCCCTCAGTTAATGAAAGAAAAACCCACAAGGGTCACAGAAATAACTTGAATCTGACAAAAGTAACAATAAATAAAAATTATATGAAAATTAACCAGTGAAAATCAGACATTGCTTTTGAACCGTGGTTTAACAGAATTATTAAAAAAAATAAACTCATGAAACAGGCCTAGACAAAAAATAATGGTACTCCTAGAAAAGACTAAAAATAATGTGACCATAGGGACATGTTCAATCAAGATGTGTCCTCTAATTAGCATCACAGGTGTCTACAAACTTGTAATCAGTCAACCGGCCTATTTATAGGGTTACAAGTAGTTACTGTGCTGTTTGGTGACATGGTGTGTACCACACTAAACATGGACCAGAGGAAGCCAAGGAGAGAGTTGTCTCAGGAGAGTAGAAACAAATTTATAGACAAGCATGTTAAAGGTAAAGGTTATAAGACCATCTCCAAGCAGCTTGACGTTCCTGTGACTGCAGTTGCACATATTATTCAGAAATTTAAGATCCATGGGACTGTAGCCAACCTCCTTGGACGTGGCCACAGGAGGAAAATTTATGGCAAATCGAAGAGACGGATAATACGAAAAAAGAGCCCAGAACAACCTCTAAAGACATTAAAGGTGAACTCCAAGGTCAAGGTAGGTCAGTGTCAGATCGCACCATCCGTCGGTGTTTGAGCCAAAGTGGACTTCATGGGAGACGACCAAGGAGGACACCATTGTTGAAAATAAATCATAAAAAAATCGGACTGGAATTTACCAAACTGCATGTTGACAAGCCACAAAGCTTCTGGGAGAATGTTCTATGGACAGACGAGACAAAACTGGAACTTTTTGGCAAGGCACATCAGCTCTATGTTCACAGATGCAAAAATGAAGCATATCAAGAAAAGAACAGTGTCCCTACTGTGAAACATGGAGGAGGCTCTGTTATGTTCTGGGGCTGCTTTGCTGTATCTGGCACAGGGTACAATGAAATCTCAAGACTATCAATGTATTCTAGAGAGAAATGTGCTGCCCAGTGTCAGAAAGCTTGGTCTCAGTCGCAGGTCATGGGTCTAGCAACAGGATAATGACCCAAAACACAGCTAAAAACACCCAGGAATGGCTAAGAGGAAAAAATTGAACTATTCTGACGTGGCCTTCTTATAGCCGTGATCTAAATCCTATTGAACATCTGTGAAAGGAGCTGAAACATGCTGTCTGGAGAAGGCATCCTTCAAACCTGAGACAACCAGAGCAGTCTGCTCATGAGGAGTGGACCAGAACACCTGCTGAGAGGTGCAGAAGTCTCATTGACAGTTACAGAAATCATTTGATTGCAGTGATTGCCTTAAAAGGTTGTGCAACAAAATATTAAGTTAAGGGTACCATCATTTTTGTCCAGCCCTGTTTCAGGAGTTTATTTTTTAAAATAATTCTGTTGAACCATAGTTCAAAAGCAACGTCTGATTTTCATTGGTTCATTTTTATAGAATTTTTATTTATTATTACTTTTGTCAGATTCAAGTAATTTCTGTGACCATTGTGGGTTTTTCTTTCATTAACCAAGGGGTACCAACAATTTTGTCCGTGTGTATGTCTGTGCTAACCACACACTTGTGAGGAAACTTGTCCTGTATCTATGAACACTTACAGATCACATGTAACAGTCAACAATAGGATGGAGTTTACATTTGTATATGCAGGTGTATAAGTGATACAGTGGTTTAAAAAAAAATGGCAAAGACATGAATATAGAGCTAAACAAATGCACAGCTTTTGTAGCAAGTCAGAAAATGACTTGACTGTCACAGCTGGAACAGAAAACCTTTGTCAAACAAATAAAATAGTCAAACCCTGTTTTCACTGTCAAGTTCATCATGGCTATCCATTCCCTGTTTCAAGTACAGCGTGATCTCACACAGATAAACCAGGTGTGTGAGATTTACCAGCTCTTACTGTCATTGTATCTGGTTAATATTCAAATACTCGTAAGCCCTCCAGCCTGACTTGTTAATTGCTAATGTAGTTTTGACTGATTCAAAATCACCAATTTGCATAATATTTAACAGTTTAGTTTTTATTATATAGTATGGACACACTACATGAACCTTTCGACACAACCTCTCACTTCTCATTTAAGTTATTTATCACATCTTGTTAGTTAACCTTTATGTCATATCCTACAGTTCCCCTGCATGTCTCTCTGAATGATTGTTTTAATCAAAAGCAAACTTTGAAACTTAAGTGAACTGAACTGAACAAAAATGGCATGCCCAGTGGCTGTTGACTGCTGTACTAGACCACAACCCTGCTTAGGGTCACCTTTAAAAAGCCTCATTGTAGCACTTTATTGAAATGCAGTTGAGTTCTACTAAAGATATCTTTCATTACGTTACTGGTCAGGCCTCACTCAGCTTCTTTTGAATGCTCAGAGAATAAGATTTATAAAGCAAAGAATGCACAACAACAGTTATAAATGAATGGTGTTTAAATATATAAGTTCAGTCACAACTATGTTCACTCCTGTCCTGTAAAGTCTGCAGAGTCTCGTACCTGCAGGTCCAGAGCTGTAAGCTGCTTTCCCTTCTCTCCTGGCTTGCGTTTATACTCCTCAATGGTCCAGGATGGTTGACAGCGCTTGCCATCTGAAAGGCTGGTGAGCCTCAGATCAGTGTACAGGGGGCTGCCTTTCACATGGGCCTTGATGGTGGGAGTGAAGGGGTGCGGTGAAAAAACTTGTTCAACCAGGTAGGACTCCTTTGGTGGTTTTGGGGGACGTTGCACCTGGGGGAGCTGATATTGACGCTCTCGCTCTGCCTGGAAAAGGAGAAAGGATGAGAGGACAGAAAAATCACCAGGAATGTTTCCAGCATTGCACTTAGTAAAACCTTGTGGGCTTCATTTCTGTAGTTTGCAAAGACTTTTAAAACTTCCGCCCCAGATAGAATAATCTGTAAGCTATAGAAGAAAGTGTGTATCACAGGGCAGAGTTTTTTTGTTTTTTTTTAATATCCTCAGACTGCTGATGTAAATACCTGGGGAGAGACTGCTGCTACTGTGCAGATTTGTGAGGCAAATGGAGGCAGACAGCTTTCTGAACCTAGTATACAGGAATGAACACATGAAGAGTTCAGTGATGTGTACCACCATTAGTAACATGCAACATAATAAGCAGCTATGCGGTACTTCAGACAGGCAGGCAGTCAGAGTACTCACAAGCCCCTTTTTAGTCCAATCCAGTCCAGCCCACCCACTAAGCAAGCTTTACAACCAAGGCAGCATTCTGCCTGCTCTGTGCTCATTACATTGCTCCTGCACCAATCTCTATAGATCTGTAAAAGGTAAATGTTCCACTTTCAAACAGTGCCTGAGCTAGGTTTCATTTCTGCTACTCCTGCTTGGTTCTACTTTACAATGTGTTTCTCCATTCAAACACCAATGGTGGCAGAGCTACCATGCACTTGAGGTTCAGAGTCTTGCCCAATGACACTTCAGCACATAGAGGGGCCAGAAATCAAACCTTGTGATTAGTGGACAACTCACTCTGCCACCAGACGGACAAGAGCTGATAAGCTGGATTCCTTGTTTTCACTCTTCGAAATGTTTTCCTTTCAGTGTTGTGAATCTCAGGCTCTGCTTGGTTTGTGATATCAGGGACTGTCTGTGTCATGCTTACACAGATTGTTACAGAGCATCACTCACCACCATATCCAAACACACGTCATCGTAAAGTAAATGGTTGAATACGACAGTGTCCTGAAATGTTTAAGTGGCGACAAGATAGATGGGCAGGTCATCAGGATATGACCTACAGTGAGTTATTTCTTGTCCTGTCCTGTACATTGTGCTCAGGGAGTGTGCAGATCAGCTGGTGGATGTTCTCACAGACATCTTCAACACCTCCCTAAGCACCTCCATTGTTCCAACATGCTTCAAAGCCACCACATTCATCCCCATGCCAAAGAAGTCATCAGTGTCCTGCCTGAATGACTATCGCCCCGTTGCACTCACACCCATCACAATGAAGTATGTGCTCAGTCCAATGCTGTTCACTCTGCTGACTCATGACAGTGCAGCCACGCATAGTTCAACCACATCATAAAGTTCGCTGACGACACGACCGTGGTGGGTCTCATCAGCAGGAACGACGAGTCAGCCTACACAGAGGAGGTGCAGCTGCTAACGGACTGGTGCCGAGTCAACAACCTGTCTCTGAATGTCAACAAGACTAAAGAGACGGTTGTGGACTTCAGGAGTGGAAAAAGGGAACATGCTCCACTGACCATCAATGGTTCCACTGTGAAGATCGTCCAGAGCACCAAATTCCTTGGTGTCCACCAGCAAAGTCCTTCACTTGGTCCCTCAACGCCAGCTCCATAGCAAAGAAAGTCCAGCAGCGCCTCTACTTCCTGCGGAGGCTGAGAAAAGCCCACCTCCCACCCCTTATCCTGACAATATTTTACAGAGGGACTATTACTACTAACCACTACCTGGTTTGGAAACTGCACTGTCTCGGACTGCAAGATCCTCCAGAGGATAGTGAGGACAGCAGGAAAAATCATTGGAGTGTCTCATCCCTCCATCAAGGACATTTACACCACAAGCTGCACCCGAAAGGCCACCAGCATTGTGAAGGACTCAACACACCCTTCACACAAACTCTTTACACTCCTGCCGTCTGGCAAGACGTTCAAAAGCATGTGGGTCTGCATGGCCCGACTGTGCAAGAGCTTCATCCCTCAAGCCATAAGACTGCTAAATATTCAAGGACTGGAGTAACACACAAACAAAAACACACACACACACATACGCACTACATCCATTGTGTTGTTACTGTCTGTGTTGTGTTGTATTGCCCCGTGTTCAAATTGTACATGTTTGCACTACCTGTTTCCATATTTCTATTTTATTTTGTTTTATTCTATTCTATTTTATTTTATTTTATGTTATTCTATTTTATCTTATCTTTTTTTTTGCACTGGATTAATTGCACTACCACCTTAGCTCTGGATCTGGGAAACACTGTCTCATTTCACTGTGTACTGTACAGCTGTATGTGGTTTAAATGACAATAAAGCCCTTTTGAATTTTGAACATAGATTAGGATACATCTTGTGGAACAGATTTAACTTCAGACTAAGCCTTGTGTAGCTGCTGACCATTTATAATGTACCAATGGTGCAAATCGAGAAGTGAATAAACAAACACTCTCACTGGTGGTTTGGAATTGGACCAAGCTTCATGTCAGTAGGGGTGTATATTAGGTCTGGATCTGGTTCAACAATGGAGGGACAAAGGGTGGTAGAACTGACTATTTCCAACTGAGTTCAGCTGCAGTTGTTTGCCAGTACGGTCTGTGTGGAAAACGCTCAAAGCACCTACATTTATTCAATAACTCTCTCTTTGCCCATTTTTATTCTTTTTGCCATTGGCTGATAAAGATCTGAAAAATATTTGCATCCTAACCTGCATATCATATTTCATTTTCAGGATAAGCTAGTCTACTCAGAAATGTCTTCAACTTGCACATAAGCAGCACACTGCTTAGGCTTTTGACAAACTGTGGGAGGGGTGGGAGGGTTATCATCACTTCCCACTCCCTGTTGTGCTGAGCTTGGTGTTTCCTTCTGGAGAGTGACAAGGTCAGAGCCAGGAAGGCAAATATCAAGGCTTTACATAATCTACATAAATTAAAATATCATTTGTTCTTTCTGTGTTGTCTTTTTTTCTTTTAGCTTCCTTTTGTTATGACAATATCATTAGTTTTGCCCCTGCAGTTCTCATCATGCTTTGGCTGATGTTGTCATGGTACTAATGTACTGTTCTGTGTTTATTCGTCATATTTTTGGTGAATCTAAGTTTTATCACTGGAAACTGCAGGTAACTGACTGTTTTATTTGAGAGAAACTGCATGTTTATGATGACTGCAGTGTTTGGTGTCAGCCAAAGACAATCTAGTCAGACTGCTAAAAAGCTACATTTTGTACTTATCAGACCCAAACATCTTCTTTTAGTTGACTTCAGAGTCTCCCACATGCCTTCCATCAAACTGACATTTTTTTTTTAGCAGGGACTTCTTTCTTTGCCACTCTCCCATAATGCCTAAACTACTCAGAAAAACATTAAATAGTTGTGTGCACAGTCCTCCCATCTTAGCCACAGAAGCTTGTAACTCCTTCAGAGGAGTCATAGGTGCCTTGGTGGCCTCCGTCACGAGTCTCTTTCTTGCACGGTCACTCAGTTTTTACGGACAGCCTGCCCTAAAAATGATTTACACCTGTGCAATATTCCTTGAATATCTTAAAGGTCAATTTAACTGTCCTCCAGTGAGGATTTTTTATCACGGAGTAGTTATAACCAGGAGTACTGATTCTCTAGTGACAGGACCTTCCAGATACAGGTGTCTTTATACTTCAATCACTGGAGACGCATTCACTGCCCTCAGATTATCACCATTTCACTATTTGTGTGACTTCTAGCACAAATTAGCTGCACCTGTGTTGAATCATGAGTGACTTTAAAGGGGGTAAACACTTACACTGTCATTTATTTATGATTTCTAATTTAAATCTGTCTTCACTTTGACATGAAACAGTTTTCTTTATAAATTACTGTTCAAAAAGCCAAATTAAATTGAGCATGATTCACAATGAAAAGCAATAAAAGGGGAAAACTTCCAGTGGGGGTGAATTTCTTTTATAGGCACTATAACTCTGAATTTGGAGGCAATATGTAAAGTGAAATAATGTGCTATAGTCAGGGCAAATAATATGATAAAGATGTGCTGTAATAATTTTTAAAATCAAGGGGAGTTTGCACGACTCTGCTATAATTATAAGCAAAGCAGCAATTAGTAGCAAATTATTATGAACATTTAAATAGGGAAAGTCTAAAGAGGACCCTATACATTTTCAGCCTCTTAATGGCACTCTTTTGAAAGCAATCTGTTGGACTAAAACTGTCAATAACAGGGAAGTTAAATGTAAGATGGTGCTTGCTGAGACATTGATTAAGATTTTAAAATGCAGGTTCAGGAAAGCTGACATTCACATTTTCACTCAACAAGGAACCTCACACAGAGTGTGACAAGCTGTCTCAGCAAACATGGAGGATGCATGGAGTTTTTTAAATATATATTTAAATTTTGGAATTGTCAAATTTATGTGTACACACAATAAAATAAGGAGTGGATCTCCTGATTCAGAGCGATGTAAACAGGCCAAACTGTGGTTCTGAGAGCGCCCTAAATAGCAGACTCGTCATGGCGTTACAGCTGGTGGGCATGTTGATGCTACAGTCCATTGGCAAAGAAGCTGCAGCTGAGTCCCAGCCTTCATTATCTAGGTTTTTTTCCATTTCTTTTCCACATTCCTCGGTTACCCTGACACTGAGACAGAAAAGGTGAGCCAAATCATAAAAGAACTATCAAAATAATGAGCCAAAAAGACAGGTTAATGCTCCTCTACTATCATATAATAAACCACTGACTTGCTTTCCTGATATACTGATATATTTGATGTACCTTTGTGATGAACAATGTCACATGACTGACATCCAAAGCCAACATTCAGTGTCTATGTAAAACGTAGTGTGTTCTATTTAAAAGGGCACTGGAGTCTGGTGTGTAACATTTTTTAGGTTTAGGTTTGCTTTTTTCTAAATTAACAAACTGCACACTTTTCTAATCTTAACCATATCACTGAATGTATACAAGATTCAAGAGTTTTTATTTGTCACATGCTCATACAGTATGTGCAGTGAGATGCAAAGTGAATGTTCCTCAAGGCTGTGCACTAACAATTTTAACAATT